TTGACCTTGGCCACGTCAATGTCATAGAGCTTCTTTTTTCTGAAAAATGTGTTTTTATTAATTTCAGAGAGAGGGAGAGAGAGATAGAAACATCAATGATGAGAGAGAGTCATTGATCGGCTGCCTCCTACACACCCCTCACTGGGGATTGAGCCTGCAATCTGGGTATGTGCCCTGACGGGGAATCAAACCATGACCTCCTGGTTCATAGGTTGATGCTCAACCACTGAGCCACACCGGCTGGGCTCATAGAGCTTCTTCACAGCCTGTTTGATCTGGTGCTGTTGGCCTTGACATCCATAGTGAACACAGGTGTATTGTTGTCTTCTGTCTTCTCATGGCTGACTTGGTGGTGAGGGGAACTTGACGATGGCATAGTGGTCAAGCTTGTTTCTCCTGGGTGCACTAATATATTTAGGCTGCCTTCGAAGCCTCAGTGTCTTTGGTCATCAGAAGGTGGGTGACGTGTTGATCTTCATTTTTGTGGCTGTGGATGCCTTTCTGCTCTGCTTTCTCTGCCTTCAAAGCCTTTGCTTTGGCTTCAGCTTTGGGAGGGGCAGGGGCTTCCATCTTTGTTTTGGGTGCCATCTTCCTGAAAAGGAGGCTATTTCTTTTTGAAATTTACAATCTGACCGATTGAGAGAAACAAGATGGCGGCGCAGGTAACAGCTGCACCCGCCGCCTCCCGCAACCACATCAGAATTACAACTAAAATACAGAACCACCAGCACTCAGAGCCTCCTGAGATCTGGCTGAACAGGAGCCCCACAACCAGGGACCTGAAGAAGCACCGAAACCGGCAGGAGGGGCGGAGATGCGGGCAGATCGGGGCTGAATCGGAGACGCGGCTGCGGGCCCACACCCGGTGCCGCGGGGTAAACCCGGGAGGGAATCTCAGCGGTGGGGGTTTCCTGGAGGAGCAGGGCCCCCAGCTCAAGGTCCCAGGGCCGGGAAGAGACGTCCCCACAACTCCAGGCTGTGAAACCAGCGGGGACTGTCCCTGAGGGTCGCGGAGGCTGCGGGAGCCCCAGCAGCTCCTCTAAAGC